CACACACACACACACACACACACACAAAACACACACATACTAGCCCGGGCATTAAGTCTTAGAGTCACAATACGAGGAAGAAATTATCCCCCTCGCCTTCCTTGCCCTTCTCGCACTTTGGTTAGAGAGACTGACTACTTTGCAGTTACTGATGTATGTTCTGAAGCTAGTATAATGTATGCAAACAAAGGTAATAAAAATGCAGTGTCAACCAAATTAGTAATTTAAATTCTTTTTTATATTTCAAAAATAATGAAATGAAACGAAGTGAACCTGTCGTTGCTCTATACCAGTTGAGCCATCAAGACGGAAATATTGGTATCCATGGAATGATAAAAAAGCTTGCAGTACATCCAACACCCGTGCCATCTGTGTGAAGATCAAACAACGATGCTTGTAAAGAAACAAGTCACGCAAAAGACCGCTTAACACTTGCAATTTCCCTGAAAATTAGAAAGATATTCGGGCTATAGGGAAAAAAAAAATCAGATTCTTGTTTCATCCAAAAACTACGAATAGTTATCTGGTGACATCAAGCAGAATCCAAAATCCATTTCCGTACAGACTCGCTGTAAGAAACGAGGGCATCCCAAAGCAAATTGAATGGCTGCACGTGCAAATAACAAACACCTGCTGGCGAACCTGTCGAGAGTTCTGACCGTAAATACAGGCAGTCCGACCGGTGGACAATCAATCACGTGGTCGTTTTTACAGAAGCGAAGCCAGATAACAGTATTTTGCATAAAAAGAACTAATGGTTAGTGTGACAAGCGGAAATATCCCAAGTACGAAAAGGCGCAAAACCGATGTGTTTCGTGTTCATTTTATGAAACAGATGCAGTAAAATCAATTACCGCAGTCGTATTCGATAAGCCTGAGTTCAGGAAACTGCAGTTTCTGCATAACATCTGTCTGAGAGAGCAGCTCATCGCAATCCTGCATTGTACTACGGCATTCATTATCCAAATCATCCTGCTCCTTCCGTAAGTATGCGTGACATCCCCTGCTGCTAATTTGTAGTACCGGCTGATCTGCTAGTGCTCCATGCACAAACACAGTAAACCTAAAATAACTGCTTCATGAGAGATGGAACTGTCTCGTGCATATCCCACTGCTTACCTTTTTAATGCATCATTTGTCCATTCAGTCAGTGACGGTGTTAGCCATTTCAGCGATCCTGAAAATACAATTTAAAAATCCAACAAACACTAAATAATTGGCCAACGCACGGGCTGCCCGTGCGAAGATGCGTTTTTAGCATGCCTCTTCGCAGTTTTTGTTGCTACCGCCACCGGTTTTTTCGGCAAATGCTTCTAGATAAACAAACTAAGATTGGCCGCCAAAACTGTCAGGAAACATCCCCCCAAAATTTCAGCTTTCTAGCTTCCGTGGCCCCTGAGTTAGCAACTTACTGGAACAAAATTTTCACG